GCTTTTGTTTGCATACAAAGAAACATTTGTGTTCTCAAGAGATTTTTGTTAAATATTTGCTTTGAAAAACATATATGAGGAATAAAAGCAATTGGAAATCTCTAGCTGAGGCTTTCTGCATTTTCAGTCTTGCGTTTAATTCCCTCTTCAACCTGACATTATGAGAAGGCTGCATACGATATAGTAGCTACCAAGCTTACCAGGGCTCAGCAGTTTGCTAACTGAGACTGTAATGATACTCTCTGACTGTTGCTGCAAACTGCAAATACATGAAATATTTATTTGCATTCCAGATGTTACTCTTCAGGCTAGGTTGTTGGCAGAGAGTTGCACACAACCATCTCCACCTAGCTCTAGCATCAGCGTGAGGAGGTGATGTTCTGAAATGCCAAGTGTAGAACCATGCACGTATCATCAGCACTGCCCTCACAAATCTCACCCAAAAAGACTAGGCACAATCAGCCTCCACATTCCTGTCTCTGTTTATCGAGACCATTTGCCTTTGCGGAGGTTTCAGTCATACAAACAAACGTATCAAGGTGCCATCCCGTAGTAAATCCCCGTCCCTCAGCTGGGCTGCAGAGCTGCCTGTGTTCCCTGCGCTGCCGAGGAGCGCGTGTCAGCGCCCCGGGCGAGCAGGCGTTAGCTCGCGCGGTGCTTCCCCTGCTCAGGCCAGGGGCGTCTTGGCAGGCAGCTAGCAGAGCCTGGCAGGCACGCGGGGACTTGCAAGGGCTTCTGTGGCCATCTCCTTCCCACGGGGATCAAAATCATTAAGAATTAGGTGTATAAAAAACGTTTCAAATGATTTTACTTCCTCTTGTAATTCAGAGTTAACTTCTCCACGAGGATCAGTTCAGTTACTTTTCTTGTTTTCTTTTTTTCCTGTTGTTTCCCCCCTTGGGAGCTGTAAAAGTGGTGTCTCTTGTTGTACTACAGGTTCACTGAAAATCGTGATTTCCCTTTTCCCGAGTGTAACAGAAGGCAAATTCTGTCCCAGAGGCATTTTCACAGTCATTATTGTATTTAAATGTTGTTGTGACACCATATGTCTTCTCATATTTGATGTGTGCAAACACAAGAGCGAGAGTCCCTGTCTGCGAAGGCTTATATAATGTAAATACGTCTGATCCTTGCTCTTTGTGTAGCAGACTACCGTGATAGATTGCAAAGCGTTTATCTTCAGCTGAGAGAGCAATGTGCAGCTGAAACTCTCTTGGAGCTTTGCCAGGGAAACCAAAGTGGAGACATCTGATTTGCTTATTTCAAACCCCACAATTACTTTTCTGGGTGAAGTTGTGGGTGCTTATGCCAATAGAAGGGGTCACACATGAGGATAGATAGAGAATAGATAAAAAGAATGTAAATGTGCTGCAGATATCTGCAACTTATGCAGATCTACTGCTAGTATTAACATAATATTTGCATGCGTGGGGGAAAATTGCTGGAGCATTGACATTAGTGAACATCATAAGTAGCAAATATCAAAGAGAAAAAACATCACAAATACTTACAGGTCAGTTGGAATTTTTACCCCTTAGCACATACAGCAGTTGCTGAATATCATTTCATAGTCAAAAGCCTAAACAGACTTTACCAGAATTTTGGAGTTTATTTAAAGGTGTCACTGTTCAGTTTCTCTCCTTCAAAAGCATCCGTGTCACTGCCACCACACTGCCTTACCTCGGAAGAAGATCACTAACTCGGACTCTGCCAATCCACAAACGTACTGGAATGGAGACCAGACACAGAATTAATGCCAAAGATGCCATCTGAGTGGGAATTCATATCAAATTCCCAAAGCAAAAAGTGTAGTCTATAATAACCTAAGCAAAAACTCATATGCAACACCTGAAAAATGCAAAGGCCATTCCAGTTCTCTCTGTGTCAGCACTAATGGGGATAAGATGCTGTGGGCAGCAGCAGGGTGAAAACACAGCACAGCACCAAGGAACTTCTGCTCCTATTCACTCAGTTCTTCAGTGCTCAGATATGTGAATTTGCTCTTAAGTCAGTACTTTAGGTCCCAAATGGGAACTCTCTTGTTATATGAAAAAACTTACATTCTACTGCAAGGTAACAGTATTTCTCTAGAACCAAAAAACAACTCAAATATTAGTGGAGTATTTAACTACACGCATTTCAGCGTGAATTTCTACTTCTCAGGTGCTAACTTCTCAGCATTATAAAACTATTTCTGACAGTGGCTCAAGTGCTCATTTGCAGATAGTTGAGAAAAAGATGCTTTGTCCTCTGACTTTTTCTACATTAAATTGGTTTCTCATTAGACAGCCTCCTTGATGATGGCTACAGTTTTTCTGTGCTCTTCAACAGTGATATGATTTCCTGATCCCAAAACCTCTTCTTCCCTATCTTCCCTTCCTCAAGTCGCTTAACCCCTCCCGTTAGGATGAGTATTTGGTTAGTGCATTTACCGTATACTTGGATAAAATACAGCCTTGTGCTGTTGGGGCTGTGCCCCTTACGAGGATAAAAGTAATTTCTGTTCACAGTAATAGGCAGCATGCAGTTATCACAGAGGTTCAGGGCTGTCTGCTAGTCAGGAAACGGATCACCTGCTTCCTTGCTGACAACAGGTGATGGCGTACATAAAATTTCAGCAAGGTGAAGTAATGTCTTGGTTTACAGTTGTATTTTCCTTGAGCGAGGCTGTTTTGGGAACAGTGCACCTTGACAGCAGCCTGTTTAGCAGCGTGATATAAAACTACAGTTGCTGAAGGAGTGAAAAATGAGTGCATCCACTGCACTCCACTCTGCGAGTAGCTCTAATCTCTCATTGGCATCCAGGAACTTGAGGGATGAAGTATCTCCAGATACAGCACAGTAAAGCTCAGAGCAGTTTTGGCAGGTTTCAACCTCCCAACTTCAGTATGTCTTAGCTAAAATCTCTGAAATCAATAGTTGCTCCACGGCTGGCAGGTTTCAACCTCCCAACTTCAGTACGTCTTAGCTAAAATCTCTGTCTGAAATCAATAGCTGCTCCACGGCCGTGCCACACAGCATGGGAATTCTGTATTTGGATCCTTGTTCAGTATCTCTGGCATATAGTTGGCAGTGGACTCGCTGTCTGAATAGTCCACCAGGCCCCATATAAGAAGCAAGGACAATCCTCTGCTGGTAAAATTAGTTTCAGCCTGCAAAGTGAAAAAAAAAAAAAAAGATAGTTTAACCCCTGCATTTTTGGCCGAACTCCAACAGCACGCAGGGCCTGGAAACGCCTCATCGCTCGTGTCCTTCTATAATGTAGAAGGCAAAGTCACAGCTTGGTTGGAGCAAATTATCCTTCCTACTTCCACATCAGTAGCCTCCTTGGAGCAGAAGAAAGTCAAAAGGTGGAAGATTATGTAGGGATTCATACAGCCTCTGTGCCTCAGGGCTTGCTCCGAGGAACGTGGGGATTTGTGAGCAGGGCTGCAGGATCTTCTCACTGGCTGAGATTACAAGCAGCCAGCAGGCCAAAACTGTTCTCATCAGCATCCCCAAACCAGCTCTGCCTTTTCGTAGGGCTAGAATTACTACAGTTTGTAACTGAAGGCATCTCCCTTGTGTGCTCAGCCTGTGTGCTGGCAGCAAGGCTTTGGATGAGAGACATTGCTATGGGTGGGTTAATGAAACATCTAGCTGGATCTCAGTCATTCTATCCCCTGTGGAGGGATGGGCTTTCTTCACTCAGGTTGATAGCCACGTTAAAATGGTGTGTCAGGCTGTGATTTCAGGGTAGGCAACAGCATGAAATGACTGACAAATTCTGTCTGGGGAGGACTAAGCAAACGCAGGAAAATGATCTGCATCTGGCCCTTCTTCACAAGAGACAGACAGACATACCAGCTCTGTACATGAATTTCCAAGGGGAACGTGTACGTGCAAGCATAGGTAATAATCCATTACAGCTCTTTGTGGGACCTCTGTATGCCACACATAGGTGTGAATGCAGGGCCTGGCATCTGTGACGGCCATGCTGACAGCTAGGTCTCGATGTGGCAAAAGGCAATTCTAGAAAGAGCCTCGGAGCTTCTTGACCCTAAGCCACTAGACCTGTCCTGTTTCCTGACAAATCTCATAAGTGGAAGGTGCAGTATCTGCCATAGAAGACTCTCGTGGGAAATGGTGCTTTCATCTTTCTCACTAGCAGAGAAGTTCCTTTCATTTTCTAAAAGTTCGTGTCCAGCTTGCTGGGATTGGAGGGGCCACCCACCGCGCGGCGGCCGCGGTGCGAGCGGGGCCACGCGCAGAGGTTTGCGCAGGGGCGGCCGCTTCCCAACGCGCTTGGTGTCAGCGCGGGGACGTAAGTTCGAGATGTGTTTATTTTAGGTAGCTTTTTAATTTAGTTTAATCAGGATTACTCATAAATTATCTATTAATTACCATGTGATATTTAGCTACATCCTCTCAGCCATGCAGTCTATTTAGCTTTGCTCTGAATGCCAGCCGTCTTAATTGTAGGATACTTTGTCAACATTTAATCAGTGGTACTTACTAATGTGGCATTGATGTGTTGGTAGCCGTCCCAGTGCTATCAATCATGTGTGAGCAGCAGAGAAGGCTGTGACACCATTGCTCTCTGTCACATTATCAAGCCCTTGGGTTTTCTGGTTAGGGATGATGCTCACTTTGCTGTAAGTGGCCACTCTATCTCTCCAGTTCAACCCAATTTTTGTCATTGTCAACTTGAATACACATTCTTGCAGCCTTCTAAGCCTTAATTCTATAGCTGCGGAATAAAGGTTGCTCATTTCCCAAGGCAAAACTGAATGCTGCTCCCCTGCTCCAAAGGCCTCTTCTTCCTAGTGCTACTCTCCTGATAAGTCACAGAAAATGACTATTATGGACTGCAGCATGAGATCTAATAGTAAATTCAGTGTTTTGAGACAATTTTCTTTTTTGATTTCTACTAGCCAGGTGCATTGTTTATGCATACTTTAAATTAGAAGCCTGTGCTTGATGGTTGTATCACAGCTGTTCTTTGTCTCCTTTCCTTCCAGCCTTTACGGCAGACACATGCAGGCAAACCCAGAACCTCCCAAGAAGAACAATGACAAGTCCAAGAAGATCAGCCGTAAACCTCTGGCAGCCAAGAACAAATAAGTCATTGGCTTGAGCCTCTTTTTTATGTCTTTTAAATTTTTTTGCATGTGCCTACAATATTCCTACATGTCTCATGTTACTCATATTATAAGAAAGCAGAGTCTATAGGTAAAAGCAATTTGCCATGTGTACTGTTTTATAAGATATTGCTTAAGGAATACAAAATTACATATTCTCCTAATTATGATCACGTTTATGTAGCCATTTAATATATCACTGTCAAACACATTTTAGCTTTTGTATTTATATGTATATTAATGTCCTCACACATTCTGTTAATATCAGATTTTTTCTGCACCTATATTATACTATATTAAATTTCATATAATATTGCAAATGATTTTAATAAAGGTCTTTATTTGTATCATGTTTTGCTTTCTTGAGTAGGACTTCTGAAAAGTGATTTTTCTTGGGAATATCGATGTCCAGTTTCCTGCCATGTGTTGATTTCTTTTGTAGGAATCTGATAGCATTTTATCTGATACAAGCTACTTAAAATGTGAAACATTCTGTCCAAGGAGTGAACATTTTTAATGTTTCCATTTCTTTTTCGCATTGCTGCTTCTTGCTTTTTTGCCCTGCAGATTTTTTTTTAACTGGGCAGGAAGGGAAGGGAAAGGGGAAAAGAAAAAAAAATGTGTCTGCTTAAAGAGCTGCCAACTGCCAGCCTCAGTATGGAGAAAGAGAACTTACTTTCTCATTTGAAAAAAAAATGTTATTTCTGCCAATTTTTTAAGTATTTCTTAAAAGCAGAAAACCCAAATAATGTATTTAATCTGTACCATGAAAATGCTTGAATTGAAGAACTGTTCCAAATGGCTTTTGAAAATGCCGCAGGTTCTATATTTATCTGTACAAAGCTGCACCACAACCAAGCTCAGAAGCTGCACTTGCAAAGCGATTAAACAACCAATTGCTTACCATCTGAAATAGCTTTGGGTCTCATCAGTGGGAGAAAACAAAACTGCACACAGTGATTTCCAAATAGTTTTAATCTTAGCAGAGCAAATGTTATCCAGTAAATTCATGGAGCAAGAACAAGTATTTAGAACTGGATGGCTCGTGTCAGGACCTTTCTGCCCCCAGATTAGCACTTCCATGAATTTCATACCTGAGCAACCTATTGCTGACGTTCTGATACCGTCCAGACAGCAAGCCAGGAAACATGCCCAGACTGCTGAAGGAGGCGTGCTGGGTTAAAGAAAAAGGTTTAAACATCTCGTGCCAGGAATGATACATCCTGTGAAAGCCATTTTGCATCTAAAGACTCTCTGATTGCCCCCGGGTTCTCCATTGGATTTGGGGTTACAGCAATATTTAAGTAATAAATGACTGCCTCATTTTGGGATTAAATATGTTGGCATATATTTTATTAATTATTTTTTGAAGTAGAAGGCAGGGATAGCCTGCTTTCAAGCTTTAGACACATTTTAAGTGGCCTTTAGTACTTCTGAAGACTGAGGCAGTCTTGATACGCAGACAGAAAACAAGGAGAATGGTAGGCCTGTCGGCAAGGTTTGGCTCTAGCTATTACAAGCCCCAGATAGGATTTTTCCAAACCTTTTAAGTGGTCTAGGGGACCACATCGAGTTGACACAGGTCTGCTGTGGTGCTAGGTTGGCTGCTATCATGGTGAAAAGTGGCCACCTGAAAGAATGGACACGGCTAAATCTAGATGTAGACATTAAAATGTTAGGTTATCTAATGCCAATCACATCCACACTACAGAAAGCCCTGAAGAAGTGTCAGAAGATCCCAAGCTAACGTTGCAAATTCCTTTTGGAAGGGCCCATCTACTGGGAAGGGATGAAGAGGCTCGAGGGGCTTCCTGGTGCTGTGTGTGGCCCCGGTCCACATGAGCCGAGCGAGGCAGCGTCTGCCTCAGCCAGAGCTGCCGCTGCTCTGAAACCACCGTGGGTCCTGGTGAGCAGGGCCCCCCGCGAGCTGCTCTGTCTGTCCGGAGTGTGGTAGGAACATTCCTGTGTTTCCGTAGCAAAAAAAAATCACTCAGCCTTTCCGCCTCTTCCCCCATGAAGGATGAAAAATCACAGTGAGTTTTGACAAGCAGACGCAAGAATGAAGGGTCTGGGGAAGAATAAGTGAAAGGCTTAAAGATGAGAAGGATAAAAGAAATCCTGAAGGGAGAAGTATTATACTGAAGATGGTGGCAGATGGGGAAAAGAGAAGTCTCTTGAAAAGAAAGATGAAAAAACTAAGATAATGATCTGAGAAGAAGATGTAAAATGGAAATGTGTAAAGCTCTGCAAACAGAAAACAAAATGAGGGGAAAGGAGTGCTCAGATGCTCAGAGCGGAATAGAAGAAGAAGGGAAGAAAAGAAACTTACTGGGGATGTAACATGCTAATGTTTTAGTGTTTTTAAAAGGCGCCAGCTTAGAGCAGACTCCACAACAGTTTTAATGTGAGATTGCCGATGTTATGTATGTGTTCTCTAGAGTCACAGCTCTTTTAATATGTAAGAACAGCCAGTTTCATTTTACTGGGTCACGCTTCCTTCCCCGCAGTAGCACAGGGAGTGGAAATGCTGTCTCTGATCACGGGAGCCAGTTAATCAGCTTCTCATGGCCGCTGTGGCCACTGGTCTGCAGGAGCCGTCAGCCCGAGGCGCCTTCCAGCAAGCCCTGGCGCTGCTCGGGTGCGATGCATCAGCATCTGGAGCACAGGGCTCCCTAACAGGCATCCTTTGCTCCTCCAGCTAATGTTCCACTGGCTTAATTTGACAGTGAGATCTCTAATCCCTGTGCGCCTTGAAACAGACTTTTTTTTTTGCCATCTGGTCATTCAGTGACTCTTTCAGGTTGCGTCTTTATGCCAACCACTTGTACAGCCAAGAACTTGCCACTTTGAAAGGAGAGGACGCCTCCTGTGAGAAGAAAATTGGATTTCACAGCTTTCCACCTCTTTGAAAATAACAATGTAGGTAATTCTCTGTTTTGACTTTGCATACAGTGTGCTGGAGACAGCTGGGGGATTCTTTTTTTACGCAAGGCAACAAAGAAAACTTTTTAAAATTACCAGAAGACTGCTTAGGAAATACCTGAAGAGACTGTTCTGCCGTGTGTGTACAAAGAGTGGCCCAAGGGAGTGAATGATCCTCGCTGACAATCAGGGGAATTTAAGCCCGAAACACGGAGCGTGCAGGCACGTTGTTCTGCGCGTAGCGTGCCTGCTAGCCCCAAGGGCCTTCATTGCCTCCTGTGGTCTTCCTCCTGGAATAATATACTTAAAAACAAAATAAAACAGAACAAACAGCTCTGCTCTGAGAATCAGGCACTGCTGGTATTGTCTTTATATATATGTGTGTGTCTGTGTGTGTATATGTATATAATACATATATGTATATGGAGGAGACAACAATATTTTGTGATCCTAAAAAGTTTCACCTTTTTATGATTGTTAGTCTGAAAAGATGTTTCCCATAGAGTCTCTGGAACACAAGCATCTTTATTTTGTTTTTAGCCAGGTCTTTCCTATGAAGGAAATGACTCTCTAGCATCTGTTCATCAATTAGCTGCCAACCTTACAGCTGGCAAGTGATACCAGCCATGAGTATTTCCCCAGAATGGCACCTTCCTTATTGAGAGGTGCAGCCTGGCTCTGGTCTCCCTGCAGCACCCTGTGTCACAGAACCACAGAATGGCTGAGGTTGGAAGGGACCTCCAGAGACCATCTCGTCCAACCCCCTGCCCCAGCAGGGACCCTTAGAGGGTGGCGTCCAGGCGGGTTTGGGAGATCTCCAGAGAAGGAGACTCCACAGCCTCTCTGGGCAGCCTGTTCCAGGGCTCTGTCACCCTCACAATGTCCTGGGTGAGACCTCTGCTTCCTGAACCACCCGGACTCATCCCCCCAGGACACATGAACCAGGTGCTGAGGCCCCTGTGCTTCTACTATTCCCATTGAGATATCAGAGGAACCCCCTGGCCCCCCTTCTCAAGCAGCACCATCACAAAGCGACCACGAGGAAGCATCCCAAGCGCCAGCAGCATTTGAGTACCCTGCACAGGTTCATGCCTTGGTGCTTGTGTTGATCACTGGAATATCTGAAGGTGAGAGAGGGTGTCTGTGCCATTTTCGCTTGTGCTGAGCAGCAGGCACTTCAGAAACGGGTAATGATGCTACCAAGCTTGGAGCAGATTGTAACTGCTAATATTCTCATGACAACCAGGAGGAGGGAGATTGTCATCAGTTATATTGGTTGTTAATTTTGTAAATATTAACAATTTCTAGGATTATGGCACAGGATGTGAGCTGTCAACTTGCTTTATTTTCCTCCTACTCCTTCTTGCAAGTGACACATCCTTTTTCCATGAGGAGCCGTGCCATGTGTTCGCTGCCTTGCACTGGCACTGGGGCTGGCAGATGTTCTGGGAGGAAACTATTACAACATCCCCAAAGTTAGCTTTGTTCCCCTACTGGGGACTTCGTTTCCTCTGATCTAAGGTGAATTGCCTATAAAGCAGAACTATTTATAAATGTCAGTGTTTGGTTTGCGTCCAAAGCTGCCTGTGAAACCAGAGCCTTTCAGGCAGCTGAACACCTGCCTCTGCTTGCAGCTCACCTGTGCGTGCGATGCGCAGCCGATACCGCTACCAGCTCTCCTTGAGAGGGGGAATAGATTGCAACTGGCGAGGAACAATTTCTCCATTGTGAGAAATCCAGGCCCTCAGAACTGACATTTTTACACTGCCTCTCCAGAGCCAAATTTTCACCGTATTTTTAGAGCCAAGAATACAGTAATTGCAAGAACGCACGCGTGTGCCCAGCCGTGGTAGCGACCGCTGCAGCTTCACCGCACGCTTGGAGGCAGCGCTAGCGGCAGCGCCAGCGATGGGAGGCAGGTGGAGGAAGGGCACAAACAGGTCTGGGCACCTCAGCCCCGTTTGCTCTTGCTCTGAGAGCTGCTCACTTGGGGGTCTCCATCTCATCACTTGAGGCCACATCCCCTTCCCCTCAATTTTAATC